AAAAAAAAAAAAGGAGGAGGATTGGCAATAGATGTTAGCTCAGAGCCGGTCTTCCTCACAATCAATCAATCAATAAATAAATAAATATTGCTGAGACCACAGGGTTGCCAACTGAGAAAAAGGCTACATGAGAGACTCATTTCATACAAAATGCCAAAATAAATTCTTTGTGTTTTGTGGCTCAAAAATATATGGGGTAGGGGAGAATTTAATATTACTACAAGAAAATAAAAATTAAAAAAAATAATCTCATAGTGGGGAAATGGCTTCCTAAACAGGGCACAAAATCCAGAAGCCAGGAAAGAAAAGATTGATAAAAAGTAGACAACATAAAATTAAAATTTTCCACGTAGTAATAAATATCATAAACAAAATAAAAACAGATACAGAACTAGGAAAAAACACTGGCCTCTCAAATGAGAAAAAAGGGTAATTTTCTTAATATAAGAAGACAAAAACAAAAGGAGAACAACCCAACAAAGAAACAGACACAGCACACTGGCAGTCAGAGCACAAAGACCAAAGGGCTCTTAACTATCTGAAAAGGCACTGGGTCTTGGACACAGAAGAGAACTGTAAACTAAAACTAAAATGAAATACTATTTTATGCCTATCAGATTGACACAGATTAAAGGAAAAAATCCTTGATAACTCTTAAGCAGAATGTAGTTAAGTAGGCAGTTATATATTGTCATTTGAGAGTGTAAATTGGTATACTTTGGAAATATTTATCACATTTTAAATTAAAAATGCACATATCCTTTGACCTAGCAATCTCATTTCATTCTCAATTTAACCTACAGATATTCTTTCATTTAAGTATAAAGGCAATAAACAAACATTTTCAAATATGAACTCAGAGAACCTAGAGAATAGTGCCCTTGAGTCTCTTGAGGAACTTATGAGAGGAAGAATTACTAGGGTGGAAAAAAGAAAGCATGGCAAAGAACTGGAAGCGAGCATAGTCCATTTAATCTAGCACAAGAACTAGAACAACTCTGAATGCAAATATAAACAATGTAGAGATACTCTAACAAAAAAGGTAAAGAGAAAAAAGGAGAGAAGGTGGAAATATACTGATTTCCTCATGTTCTATAGCCAGAGTGAAAAGAAAACTGCTAAATCAAGAAATAAAGACTATTTATGGCTGGCCCCATGGCTTAGCGGTTAAGTGCACGCGCTCCGCTGCCAGTGGCCCGGGTTCGGATCTCGGGCGTGCACCGACGCACCACTTCTCCGGCCATGCTGAGGCTGCGTCCCACATACAGCAACTAGAAGGATGTGCAGCTATGACATACAACTATCTACTGGGGCTTTGGGGGAAAAAAT